TTTAATTACACAATAAAAGGTATACCCAATAAAAGCTACAGACTTCGAAACATGTTGGGCACTATGGTTATGAAACTCTGACTTATAAAAAAACAAAGTGCTACTATGTGATTGACATTTGTTAATTAAAAATACAATTTTTAAATGACAATTGTTTTTATTTTGTATGTGTTAACTTGCCCTATTTCCTACTTTGTTGTACTTAACTAAAATGACGTTTAATTTGGGGAGAGTTTATAGGAAAAAAAAATGTTACAGTTTATGCTCCAAAATTTAAATATAAATACAAAATGTTACACACATCTTCAGCAATATAACCCCCTTAATTTCAGACACTTAATTTCAATACTCGATGTTTCTTTCCTTTCATTATACTTTGATAAACCTGTGAAAAAACAAAATGCTAAAGTAATTACTGTTACTACTCCCTTTAAAAATGTAAAGCAGTTATATTTTCCTAGAAAACAAGCAAGGACAAGTTACAGAGAACTTGAATAAAAGTAGCAACCTGGTCGTGGTGAATGCCAATCTAAAAAAAGGGGTTATGGCTAATCTGCAGACTACTCCCTCATACATTTTTAAATTCCAAGAGTGGGCTGATACAGAACTTCATCACTGGGTTTTGGTCGCCCGTGTGCGTGTGCGTGTGTGTGTGTGTGTGTGTGTGTGAGCTGCACATCAGATTAAAACCCTCGTCTACAAAGCCCTGGCTTCCCTGACAAGGCAGATCTTCTAAACTTGATGTGAGAAAACGTTATCTAACTCTAGTGTAGGAGCCTGATGTTAGTAAAAAGAATTCCACTGCACAGTTATGAGTAGCAAGGAAGCCTCTGAAAGACTTAATATTCTTTTAATACCTTTTGGATGCATTCTCCTCAGAAATAATGCATTAAAAAAATAATAACTTGTTTAGCAACTCAGCATCCATAAGGAACTCAAATGCTGCCTAGAGAGAGGCTAAGTATTTCCTTCCAATTGAGCCTTCGCTTGCACAACAAAGATCAGCATTTGCAATGGTCCATTTCTGCATTAGTGAGTATATAGCTTTGCTGCTTGATCCAATAGTCCAGGGTTCCCGACGCAGAGCTCCTGACAACAACCCAGCAGCAGTTCCGTTTGATCTCTCCTGCTTCCTTAATTTGGGTTGTCAAGGCTCAGCAGTTGGAGGCTGTTTACTTTACTTTTCAAAAAAAAAAAAAACCTGATTTTTTTTCCCCTCTCATACTAACCCAAAATCTAAAGGGGTTGGGGTGGGGTGGGGGGTAAGTATGCAGCCAGTGGCAAGATGTTAAACCTCTTCTCCCTTTGTGCAGTGAGATTTTAGCTGACACCTTTTAAATCATAACTAGTTGAGCTCCATTTTATATTTTCAGTGCTCTTTAATTATTAGACATTTCACGTAGGAAAATCAGAGAGGAAAAAACCCCATCCCCAATCCCTGTAACTGTGAGCCCAATTTTCTTTTCCCGGATTCAAAGAGGTGGGTATTTCCACTTTGAAAATCAAAACTGCAGTGGAGTTCTTAAAAAGATTTGATACATTTCTCTCTGGAACCAAAAAACAAAACAAAACAACAGGAACTCCTCTGTCATAATTATGCTGGTTAACCCTGGGTAGAAAACACCTGAAATCTGACAATTTCTCCTCAAATTCCAGTTAAGACATCTCCCCCTCAACCGGATTCTCACTGTGAAAAAACAGGAGGGGGGGAGGGGTTGAGTGGAAGGTAAAAATTTTGCAGAGATTCTTCAATATATTTGCAGCAGTAGAAAAATCTTTTAACCATCCTTTAGGTTTTCTCAACACAGCTATTATGCAAACCAGAAATCCTGAAGCCTATGGACAACCGAAGGTAAAGTGCAGACGTTTCCTGTACTCGTAGACGCCGTTCAAAGGGAATACAGAATGCCCCTCCAGCACTCCTGCTCAAAGAGCAGTGACAAAAAAGGACATCCAACTTAGAAAATACCTGTGACCAGACACGAGAGCAACAGCAGCCTCAGAAGTGGACTGGAGAAGCTCAAATGCAACCGAATTAAATGTTTATATTAATTTCACTTCTGTGCCCAAGCCTCGCAGATGAGGGCTGGGGGAGGGGGTTGTTGGAAAGAGGAAGAAATGTTTCATTTTGGGTTTTCTGGTCGAGCAAAAAGAAAATGAATTAAAAGGACCGCGTAGGATGAGCCCAGACTAAATCAATACACTTTGTAATCAGCCCTGCAAGGATATTTGAACACAATGACTTGGAAATAATTAATAGTTATAAGGGGGGAGTAGGTTGGAAGGGGGGCGAGAGATGTCACCATATTTTATCGGGGCACTTTACACTCCACGCTAAACTTTGATCTCTAGACTTTCGGATTTAGGAAATAAAGGGGGGAAAAGAGGAAGTCCAGTATTTGAATGGGCACATTTCTGGCTCTGGCGCCTATCGCTACACTCGCGCCGCTTTGGGCGCAGAGAGCCCCTGGTTTCAGCCCGGAGCTCTAGTAAGGCCCCTGCCCCTGCCCCTGCGCCTCCGCCCGCCGCCGCCTCGACTTACCCGCGGAATCCGGGGAGGGAGTGGGAGCGCCGCCTTCACGCCCGCGGAGGAGGCGCCGGCAGTACCATGGTCCCCGGCGCCGCTGCCTCTGCCCCTGGCCCGCCTGCTCGCCGCGCGCTCTCTTCCTCTTGCAAACTTTCGGGTTCTGCGGTCGACAAGACACCAGGGCGACCCTCAGCAAGTCTTCCCGGTGCAGGTTGGGGGTAGTGGAGAGGAGAGGGAGAGTGAGCAGGCTGAGGGGCCAAGACAGAGGGCAACGGGTTCGGAGGACCCGCGAGCGCGCGTGGAGGGAAGAGAGACTGGCTCAGGGAATCCCTGCAAGGATCCCGAGACCGGGAAATCGGCCCAAGCAAAGTCTGAGCACCTTCCCCGGGATCTCACAAAGTTGCAACAACAAAAAAAGGAGGGGGGATAAAAGGGGGTGGGATAGGGAGACGATCGCGGGCGCAGGGTTTGGAGTTACAACTGTTTATTTAGTCCTTATTCTCATAGGGGGCGGGAGCTGCGCGGGAATGGGGCGGGAGGGGGGTGGGGGTCTGTAGGCAGCAATTTCGAAGCAAACACTTGAGACGGGAGCATGCGACTTTGTTTCTGGGCGCGGAGCTCCCCGGCGCCCGCGTGTCACCTCCACTCTCCCGGGACTGAGGCGGAGGTCACAACAGGTGGGGAGGGAGACTCGCCGAAGGCCAAAAGGAGAAGGAATCAGTTTCCGATCTCGGTGGTATCTAGGGAGGAGAGGGCAGGAGGCGGGGGCAAGAGGAGGCGGAGGCAGCGTACGACCGCGACCCCGCGGCAATTGGCAAACTCCAGGGCTCCAGGCGCCGCCGCCGCCACGCTCTCCACCCGAAGCGCACGCCGTCCCGGCTCGCCGGTTCAGCCGAGTCCTCTCTGTCAGACAGGAACGGAGCTCGGGAGGAAGGCGGCGCGCGGGCGAGGGACGGAGCGCCATCGGCTGCCGGGACAGGGCCGGAGGGACACGGCGATTCTCGCACGTCTCAGGATAGATCGGGTCTTGGGAATCCCACCCCCGTTCCCCAAGCTTAAGAGGGGAGTAAAAACAAAGTGTGTGTGGTGGAGAAGAGGAAAATTCAGACGCGAAGACTCCCCGCAGCGCACCCTGCTCCCACTCCCACCCACCGTGTTGGCCCCGTCGCGGGGAGGCCGGGTTCGGTGGGCCGAGCGCGTGTGGGGTACGTGTCTAGCCGGGGCTGTGCTGGTGTGTCTGAGTTTTCTGGGCTCCCGGAGACGACGAAGGAATGCCCCCGCCGCCGTTTTCGGGGCAAAGTGTGCGTGGCACCGGGGATGTCCCCCGGCGCCGGCATCAAGTCATTCCGCTGCGGCCCACGGAGCAGCCCAGGGGCACCGAGGGGGCATTCGCTCGGGAAGAGAGAAGGGAAAAGTTTGCTCCAAGTCCAAACTTTGGGATCCAGAGGCGCCCGGCGTGCGCCCCCAACCCAGGGACTCATGCCCGCCCCGCTCCTCCGCAGGCACCGGGACGCCAGACATCGAAAGTTGCCCCCAGCGGCCTGGGCTTATTGACTTCTCTTCCAGCACAAATCAAGGCGTGAAGGGGCCGAAAAGAAGGAGATCTCGCCTCCTCGCAGCCCCCCACCCCCTCATTTGACTTATGCTAATAGACCCGAGAGCGGCGCCTCCGGAGCCCCTCCACCTCCGCGCCGGCCCACAGCCCCCACCCTGCTCCCAGAGGCTGGGCCCCGACCCGGGGGAGAGAGCCTGAAAGGGGAGGGCTGGGGGAGATGCACGTGGAGTCTGGAGGTGGAAAGTAGTTTTGTTTTTTTTTTTCCTTTTCTTTTTTTTTTTCTTTTTTTTTTTTTTTTTTTTTTTTTGCGCTGGTTGTTGTTTAAAGTGGCGGAAACAAGGCAGGAGGCTGCTTGGGAAAAAGTGGAACAGAAATGGAAAAATACAAACTCACCCGCTGCAAATGATCTCTCGGTGCAAACTAAGGTGTTTTCGGGCCTTTCCCCGCACGCGCCCACTCCCGCCCGCGCGCGCACCCTCGCGCACACACTCCCTCGCGCACACACACGCGCGCACACACGCACTCGCGGGCGAGGGACGGGCCGCTGCGAGTACGGCATGTAACCGCCACACAATAAATAACAATAGATTCCTCCGCTCGGGACTAGCTTCTCGGAGCACAGCCAGCGCCGGTGGCAGCGGCGGCGCGGGTGGCGCCGGCCGGGGGCGCTCCCTAGCCGGTCGGCCGGCCTCCTGCCGGGGCAGCTTCTTCTCTTTGGACACCCCAAGGCCCCAGCGCCCCGAGATCGCGAGACACCACCCTCTCCCGGGGCCACTCGATCGCTAGCACCCCTTTCTTTCCGCCCCGTCAACCCCCCCTCCCGGCCTCCCGGAACAAATAAATAAATAAGGCGCGCGAGAGAGTCCAGCTCGTCGCGGAGGAAGATGTTGTTATTTTTTGCTGTTGTGCGTCCCTGACGTCACATCCACCTGCTGGGTAAACAACAAGGCTCGCCGCAAAAAAGAAAAAAAGGAAAAAAATCGCAACTGCCAGAGCCAGGGGGGGGCGGGCGGGCGAGCGGGCTGGGAAGGGGGGTCTCGGGAGGCGCGCGTGGGGAGCGTCCAGGCTAGATGGCAGAGGAGCCGGCTGTAGAGCCCCGCAGACCGGGGAGGGAGGGGACGCTGAGCAGCCCGGCTACGGAGGGCTCTGCCTGGAAAGACCTGGAAAATAAGGGGCCTGGAGAGGAGGGATTCCTCGGAAGACGGGGAGGGGGCATTCAGACTCCGGGGAAGCGCGCGGCTGAGCCTTAACGAGGGACGAAGATGGGAATACGAGGGCCATTTGCTTGGTTTCTGAGCTAAAAATACAGAAGGAAGGGGAGAGATCGGCTGGGCTGCGAGTCTGCTCCAGTTAAAAGTGAAAGTGTTTCGCCCGCAGTGACAGTTGAAGGAGGGGTGGTGGGGTGGTGTTTTCCACCCCCCTCCCCTCTCCCGTCCTTTCTCGGTCTCTCTTTCTTTCTGCACTTTGTCCAATGAAAGAAGGCGAGTTCGGGAGGTGAAAGTTCAACAGAAGGACAAACCCCCGTTTGCAAGAAAGCAGAAACCCGCCAGCGAGGGGTTCCCCCCCAGTATTTAGAGTTAGGAGAGTGTAGTGTGGGGCGCACTTTGTCTTTCCCTCCGTGCCCGAGTCCCCGCAGGACTGTTTGGTAGATGCCCTTTGGAGGAAAGCGGCCGCATCTGGAGCCAGTTCTCGCCTGGGCTTTTGTAGGAAACCAGGGGCTAGCCTCAGCAGTGCCGCGCAGGTTACCTGCTCTCCAAAAGATCAGCCACTGATAAAAAGCTTTGTCCAGCTTTTTTTGAAAAGGTGAGATTTTGTGTGTGCTGCTTGAAAGTTGGGTGGGATTTAGAAATTTGAAGGAGTAAACTAGGAACCTGAATGAAATGTTTTGAAATATACATATAAATGTATAAAGCAACTTGTACTTCTCTGGCTTTTATCAACTCAAATAGAGAAGAAAGAAGACTTTGTTTTCCAAAATGTGACTTAGAAAGATACAGAGCTCTAAAGTTTGTCGTTGCTAACAGAAATAATTTTCTTCAGATCCATCACCCCAGACGCTGCCAAATTCCCAAGCCAGTATTTCCGGCTACTGACTGCTGGTGTAGCAGGCCAGCTTTCCCCCAGAATTACTGAAGACACTCCTGTGGGTTCCTACAAAGTACATGGGCTGGGCTGGGCTGGGGGAGGGGTGAGTGCTGTCCCATTGGTCTTGAGACCAGCACAGAGATAGATAATAAATATCCTGAAAATGACATAAATTCTTTTGGATAATTTTTTACAGACGTTGTTAAACATTCATTTACAAAAGAATTCTAAATCTCAATTTTAATAATAGCATGAAACTACCATTTTAAAATTGTATCTCTTTTGCAAGTAAAAGAAAAAAAAAAGCCACTCCCTGGCGCTCCAGTATAAAGCAGAGAAAGGCAGCATGGTAATTCCAGCATGGTAGGATTCCTGGCGAAGGCATTCTGCACACAGCTCCATGGTGTCCAGACAAGGCTGTCCACTGGTCCTTTAGACAGGAATCTAGATAAAGCAAGTGCATTTTGGTTTGAAGGGAACTTCCTACCTTCCTGGAGGCTGCAGTTCATGTTGTCTTTGAGTTAAGACATTAGTTAAGACTTTAATGACACACCTACTAAGTTCTAGACCATACAGTAGGTATCAAGGGATGCAAAAAATAAAATTCCTGCCCTTGAGGAGCTCAGAGTCTATGCTGTCAGTAGTAACATCGGATATGTATTGAATGCTTACCATGACTTAGGCACTGACGTAAAATCTTTATGTCAACTCAGTTAATACTCTCCATAGCACTTCCACATCACTGGAAATTCCATATGCTGAATTCACATGGGGTTAAATGGAAATCTACAAACTAGTCAGTCTGTTGTGGGGTGGAGGTTTTCATTTCTAAAATGTTTGTGTTAGACACAACATGTTTATGGTATATGTTGGGTTGCTGAGTTATAACTCAGAGAAATAGCAATTTATTTAAATGTGACCAATTCATTACTGGTCTGAAAAGAACAGATCATGCTCTGATCTTGTTTTCAGATTAAACAGTGAGTTTTTTAAAAATCACTAGTCTTGCCATACAGAGTGATCTTTAGATTACACCCATCTTATTCTGCACTTGAACTGCCTTGGAATCTGCATTCACTGGAAGGTGGGGTGACGGCATAAACAGTCTGCACAGAAGGGAACCCTGTTTGTAAACCCCATGACATACTGCGCTCAGTGTTGTATGTACTGCTGTCTGATGTGCCACCTTATTAAAGACCGTGTCCATTTGGCTTGCATTAGAAGGACACTTAACTACAGCTTAACATATTGTTCATTTTCAACACTTCACATTATATTCATAGGGAGCATATTTTAATTTCTTTATCAGTAATCAACTGGAAGTTTCTTTTTGTTAAAGCAAGAAGGGTTTTTAAATAAAGGGCATGGGGGTAGGACGCCACCTTTTGGTGGTAAAACAAATAGAAATCTCTTTTAAAACAGATGCTCCTAACATCATTTCAGTTTTAATTACACCAAGGCAAAGGTGCTTGTCCCCATTTTGTTATGTTTTAGGTAACAAGGGGGAAAACACTGTAAGTGGAAAATTGGTAAACTGTTGTTAACTGTGGCCCAAATTTCCCCCAAAGGTATCAGAACATGTGCCTTGTCATATACCATTAAGTCAAACACCAACTTTGTTGTGCAAATATATTACTGTGTCAAGTATTGATGCACATTTGGGGGAACAGAAACTGGAGTGGGTATTTGCCTCTTACTGAGATACCTGAACCTTGTGTAAGTTTACAGTAAACAGAAACTTGAAAATCACCTAATTCAGTGTTTCCTAAACTATAATTACTATCTTCCTAATTTTCACCATATCTACATAACACAATAGTTCCTGAATAATTAATAGGCTGCACTCATTGGAGTACAGTTATTACGGTAATTGTATTATTTCCCTTTAAATCAACCTACATGTTATTTTTTTCTATTCCTATTTAAATGGGGACTCAGGATCACCCTCCATAAATGAAAATCAATCACAGTGCAAACAGTCATTGCTTTCTCTTTGTTAGGGAGACTGGCAAAAAATATAAAAATTAAAAAGAATTTTTAAGAAGAGAGTGGCAAGGGCTAAGAAGCGTTCATGGCAAGGGTGTCATCAGAGAACTTTGTTTTCTCTTTGTTTTTGTGAACAACCACAGGGATTGGAAGGGACTGAAGAGGGAGTGTCCTCTTCAGTCACAGTCAGTGTCCTCTAAGCCACCCCAGTGGCCACACTCCTGCACTGTGAAAATGGCATCACCCAGTGTATTAAATCACAGAGCAGAGAGCTGGGGCCCAGGGAGGTGAGTCGCCCTCCAATGCCGAGTAATTGGCTAGCGGCTGGACCAGGAGGAGAAGCGGCCACCCTGACTCAGTGTCCGTGTATTTTCAGCTCAGTTTCCACTTCACAAAAGTGACACCATCATCCTCACACGCTACAAGGCCTGACTGGCTACCAGAAACAGCCAACCTACAGGTCACTACAGACCGAGGAGGAACGAGGCCACAGAGAGTCGAGATCGAACTCAACCCCTGCTCACCCTCTCTCTCCCGCAGGTGGGGTGGGTACAGAGGCAGAAGGGGGGAGAAGCAGAGGTGAGTGGAAGGGGCCCAGCTTGTCAGCGACAGCTCACACTCCTGTTCCTTCCGGAGAGAAACACAACCCGTGAAAATCGTGTGTCCTAGGGTGTCGTCTGCATGCTGCGCCCCTCTATGTCCACCCTGAAATTGACTCAGGACCCCGCTGTGAGGCATACAGTGTCACCAGGACTCTGAGACACAGTACGTTTGATGGCTTCACCAGCTCGTCACAGAATAGCGAAAGACCCAACAACAAAACTCGTTCCAAGGCTCAGAGTTAACACTCAGGACAATAGTGCATTTTCCCAGCTTTTGATCTCAGTTGCAGAGGGTGCATTTCCTGCTTTTCTCCTCTTAAGGCTGCAGTCTATAAGCAAACAAACATGGCCTGCAGATATTTTCATGTTTTCCTAATTGGTCCTGGAGAAAAGAGGTTCTGGTAACTACTCTATCGGTCTTTGCCCTGTGGGTTTCAGTGAGTTGTAATCCCGATAAACTACAAAAGAGTATTTGGCCAAACACCTCTACTCCAAAAAGCTATTCAGTCCCCTGGCCCCGGACATACACAGTGCGGCGTGGTGGTGATTTGCAGACACATCCAGGGAGAAAGAGCAGCCCCATCCTCCCTGCCAGAGGTACTAGGACAATTCAAAGCCTCTGTGCAAAAGGAGGTGTGCAGACCTGCAGCACAGGCGCCACCAGAGCGCCAAGACCTGCAGCGCCTCTGCCCAGTCCCTGCACCTACTGAGTTGAAATCTGCGTGGTAACAACACCGCCCAGCTGAGCCTCACAGTTTGAGAATCACAGGTCTGCAGCGCACAGAGCCTCTCATGGAACAGGCACCATCGCAGCAATCTTCACAATCTCGAGACTGGAAAGTTTAAACTGCTTGACAGAGCCCTGCAAGCAGTCTGCCATGATTCTCGGAACTGGTGTCTCTCGTAAAATTTGTTGGTTCTTTGTTTTCATCCACTTGCCAAGTTAAGCCATGATTAATTCCTTTGACATTAATAGCAGGGTGACTTCTCTCTCCTGTTACCCCAAAGACATTGCTAATTGTCCTCGGATTGCTTACCTTTGCATTGTTTCGTGAGTGCTCAGACAGGCAGCCCCTCCCCAGCAGGCCGGAGACCACTGCCAGACCGCTGGGGAAGACTGAGCACATGCGGTGACTAGACCTTGTTAGTAAAAAGGCTTTGCTTTCTTTGTTTTGTTTTCTTTCTTATCGAAGGGATGACACCTCCATAATTATAGGTATTGCTGTTTAAGACCCAGAATGTTTTCCAAGCCATAGGGGGCCACCCCTCCAGCAGCCCAGCAGCCATGCCCAGGTTGGACTCTCTCTCCAGTTCTCTACATCGTTTATAGAGACAATGTAACTACCACTCGATTCCTATTAAGTATAAGGAGAGGAAGGAGGACCTGATCTAAGTGTGGCTGCTTCCTGAATGAACATGGAGTCCCAAGGAAACCCCAGAGCCGACAGGCGATTGTTTCTGTGACATCCTGAAGACTCCCATCACTTCACCTTCCTAAAAGATAACAGGTTACTTTTGCAACCCTCCCCCAAATAATTAAAACTATTGTTATAATGCTATCCCAAGGCAGTATAATTGAGTCAGTGAGTAATTATGTACCTGAATTCAAAATAAGATTTCACATGTAAAGCAAAGTTCTGATTATAATCTCTGAGAAGAGTCTTGGCTCATATTTAGAGCCCACAAGTACCCGCCCTGTTGCAATAGGCACTGTTCCATGGGGCTGAGACAAACTGTGTCCCCACGGGGAGGGACATGAGGCAGGTCTCCCACCTTCTGGAGCAGTGAGGCCGTTGCTCCAGGTTGGAGCACGTTTCAGAAGGAGCTAAGGAATCCTGAACATGGGGGTAGGCTGACATCTTTGTTATGCTAAACTTGGAGTGTTTTTAGTGACATCTATAAAATAGCTGTCAAGAGAAGCTTCTTCCCTGTCCCATGATATACCTGAGCCTCTGTCAAAATGAAAAAGCCATACAAAGATTAAAAACCTGATGTCCCCAAGGCCAGTATGAATCCCATGGTGATGGGATAGAGTTGAAAGTATCCATATGGACAGTTTTAACATATATACTTACAGATGAACTGATATAGCAATAAATCTATAGGTGTCTGCATGAGTATGTATATGTATTTCCTAGTTCTGTCCATTGAAAGGGACGAGAAGCAGCAAATGTACCCCAGTAGCAGTGAGCACCCCTACCACCTGATCTTGGTATCTAAACACCTTTCGACAATAAAAGAAACCAGGGATTTTTGGAGAACTAGTTAATTTCAGGGCTAGAGCAGGGGAGATGCAAAATAAGGCTGGAGCGTCTGGTGGGGCAGGAAGTGCCAAAGGACATGCCAAAAAAAGACACGTACTGAAAGGGAGACACCAGCCTGCAAGAGCTCCCCATGCCACATCTGAGACGTCCTGAACAGGAAAAGAAATAACAAAGCATTGTTTTAAGACACACACATGTGCATGTGTCCA